AAAATCAACTGAAATTGATATGAATGTATTTACTAGAAACGTTGAAAAATGCCTTAAACCCAACATTTATAGTCCAGCTGATTCTGATTGTCATACAATTTACTTTACATAAGGTCAAAAGGCACTAATATTTTATTTGCTCAACATGGTTTCACTACATTTAAATGGGATGAGCCATGATTGAATACAGTGGTGATTTCATTCTCCCACTCTGTCCATAGTGACTAAGATAAATTTCTGGCACTAGACAGCACAGCAACCTTTCAAAGCTGTAAACTGCTCTCTGTGTTCAGCTAGGCCTCTCATTGGTCTCAGTGACCTGAAGGCTTGACCATATGACACAGTGGTCAGCCCAACAGCCATCTGCCACCGTGGTGCAAGGCTTGCCTAAGTTGTCATGCAACTTCAAACCAATGTGAATGAAGCCAAAAAATGTACAAATTTACACTTAATTTTATTCATTTATGAGAAAGAAAGATGTTCTTGTATTTTTGTTTCCCTCATTTACGTAAACTAAAAGATTCAGTGGAAGCCATGTGTTCTCCAGAAGGGGGCCTGCTGCAGACAGACGGACAGACAGACTTGTAAGCCAGGCCCGGGGCAGCTCCTTTTACCAAGACGGATTTGTTAACACTGTTTGGGTCGGTCAGGCCCCGGGTTGAAGTGACCTAATCTGTCATTAAACTCCTGTTACACTATGAGCGAGGCACAGCTCAGTGCCCCCTAAAGAGGAAAGACGAGACACAATCTTCTGATTCAGTGAAGGCCGTCATGAAAACAGCAGACACTAATAAATCCCAACATGGCACAGTTATATGCCTGCGCTGCAAAAACAAGTGCTTCATTTGTGATTCTTTTTGAGGAGGATTCACTTACAGTATGTTGGACAAAAGACTCATCACACTGAACAGTTTGATTTAGTTTTTCAGGTCTTTCTGCCTGTTATCATCAGTTTGGCAGCGAGTGTCCATCATACTTACAGATTGCGAAACGATAGACATAGTTGCATCTGTTTGTTGTAGCAACATATCCTCTGGTCTGACATTATCTGCCCCATGAACTGTATTTCCTTGTACTTTAATCTACTAACACTTTGCAGGTTATCTCATTTGGTTAGGGACATCTGATGCTGCATCTCTTTTGTTTTGAGGAATGTAAATGGTGGATAATACATGACTATCTTACTGTATCTACAGTAAATGTCTATGGATATCATGGTTTCAAAATGTTCTTTTTGAAAGAAGTCTCTTATGCTCACCAAGGCTGTATTTATTTGAACAAAAATACAGGACAAACAGTAATATTATGAAATATTATTGCAATTTAAAGAACTGTTGTATATTTTATTATATTTATTTCTAAGTAATTTATTCCTGTCAGGGGCGGACAAATTTCAGGTATGGGGCCCCAACACAATAACTATGTGCTCTTTTACGCCTAACCCTTATTTTGCTCGCTCTCTTTCTCATAGTTTATAGTTTATGTACCTCTTCACAACTTAAGTAAATAATTAGTCAACCTGATGCTGTTCTAAAGCCATTTTAGGCTTATTTTTTCAGATCACAAAAGAAGACTTTAAAAAAAAAAATGCTTGCACTTAATGAATTTAATGAATTGTAACCTCCTTCAATCTTTTTACAAAAACGATTAAAATGTCATAAAATTATCTTATCTACGAGCAACTCGTTCTGTATTCCAAGTGTTCTTAAGGCATACGGGTTTGCCAAGAAACAAATCGAAAATGTAATCTAATATGAAGCGAAAATCTCCAGTCATCGCATTCGTGCATTTGTATGAGTGCGCAGCAGTTTGCGCCGGTGTGCATAGGAAAAGCACAAAACAAGTCATTTTGAAACATCAAGACAAATAAAATCATGACACGAAACACGATACTTTCTTCTCTGAGGTTAATATATCCATTCTGAGACAGTCAGACAGGATTATACAGCCTATGTGCAAAGAGTGCTCCCTCTACAATCACTAAAAGCTGGCATTCACTTCAGTTCATCGCGATTTCATGATGTCCCATTAATTAATGAAGCTGTCTGCACTGCACAATGAATCTCTTATTTACATCGTATCTACACGTTGTTATAATGAGAGGATTCGCGAGCTTGCAGAGCTCAGCACTTGACAAAAACTGAGCGGTGAGTGAACATTTGACGCTCTCCAGAACACAAATACACACTGGAGCGTTTGCCAAATATGTTTAGCCAAAATCAGATGGGGCCCCTTGGGGCCCTAAGCGGCCACTTACCTCGCTTATTGGTTAAGTCCACCCCTGATTCCTGTGATGGCAAAGCTGAATTTTCAGCAGCAATTACTTCAGTCTTCGGTGTTACATGATCCTTCAGAAATCATTCTAATATGCTGATGTGTGTGTGGGTGTGTGTGTGTGTGTGTGTGTGTATATATATATATATATATATATATATATAATTTCATATATAATTGTAACCAAAGTTAAAATGCATTGTAATATTTGAAGGTTTGTTTTTTGTATGTTTTACTGCATTATACTTTCTAAAGGTGTAACAACGAATAGATAAGTATTATAATGGATTATAACTGTTATTATAAATAATTATAAAAATTATTCATGAGATCAAACAATGCATTATAAAGTGAATTACCAGGCACATTTAATGCATTAAACTACTTTCATGATCCATTATATATAAAGGCATTAACTAAAGTGTCACCAAATATCTTGACCCCAAACTTTTAAACAGTAGTGTATATTAATATTAAACAAAAATTGCTAGCACTGCTAATATGGAGAACTATAGTAACAAGTGAGCCAGAACTGCCACTGGTAACTCCTCAAAAATAAAATAGCTATAATTGTAACCAAAGTTAAAATGCATTGTAATATTTGAAGGTTTGTTTTTTGTATGTTTTACTGCATTATACTTTCTAAAGGTGTAACAACGAATAGATAAGTATTATAATGTATTAAAACTGTGGTTACAATTATTCACGGGATCATCCAATGCATTATAAGGTGCATTACAAGACATAATTAATGCATTAAAACTACTTTTATATTGCATTGTATATAAAGTCTTTAAATAAAGTGTTACCAAAACATTTATTATTTTCAATGTTGAAAACAGTTGTGCTACTTAATATTTTTGTGGAAGCTGTGATCATTTTTTTTCAGGATTCAATGGTGAATAGAAAATAACGTAATTTGTTTGAAATAGAAATCCTTTGTAACACTATAAATGTCTTTAAAGTCACTGTTGATCTTTGTATCCCTTTCTCCTTTGGCAATAAAATAATGCCATATAACAATATTATATACACATCTACAAATCTGTATGCATGTTGCAGAGCAGGCACACATTTTGACTTCAAAGTATGCTGGTACGATTTGTCACTCCAAACTAAACAAAAAGCTGGTGATGCCTTTCAATATGAATATATCATAGAATGTTTTTCTTCTTAGACTATTTAAATACTGTATAGCTTGATGAAATGGTGGTGAGTGTGGAAATGACTGTGTGCAATGTGAAGCATGTGAACTAAACGTCACATTGTTGTGGCACTCCTAATATTTTCCCAAGGTCTGGCAATAAATTATTAAGGCAGTAAATACAGCTTGTGATTTTAATGATTGTGAAATAAGGATCTTTCCATTCATGTTTGGCATCATCTGCAACCTGGAGCTTGTGAAGTCTTTTTTTTAAGTAACTTTGGGAGGGACATTCTGAGATATAAAGCTGCAGGCAGAGATGATCACAAGCATTTAGAGTTTCTCCAGACATAACTGAAATGCTAGGTAATGAGATGCAATATGTGACAGTTTGGCTAAAGAGATGTGTCTTTAATGTAGATTTAACCTGATAGAGTGTGTCTGAGCCCCGAGCATTATCAGCATAGCCATTCCAAAGTTTTGGAGCCAAATACAAAAAAAAGCTGTATCTCCTTTTGTGGGCTTTGATATGTACTGTCAACAGTCCAAACTTTTGTGCCTTAAAGGATTGTAGTGTGATGCAAGATCGGTTAGAAAGGACATCAAATGTTTTCCTTATGTAAATGTTATTTTGTATTAACCCAAATGACTCCTTCAAAGCTGAAATGATCCTTACTATGACTTAGAGTTAGTCATGCTGTGCCTTTTGAGCAGAAGCTGTATGATATAACTTGAATAGATCACATTTAACAGATGGTTCTGATCTGCTCGTGCTATATAAAAATATAATCAAGCTCAGAGCATATAGCTTTGACATATGATCCTCTTAATCAGTTGTTACTAACGATTTTGAGTACATCGAGTACTTATTAACTAAATCTAAATAGTTTCCCTGCTGCACATGAACCTCACGTTAGAGTGGACACTAATGTATCTCTGCAGTTCTGTGAGTAACATTTTGACCTAATAAGCAGATACCAAGCTTTTTACATTTTGGAAATGTATAAAAACTGTTTATAGATTTTTTTTAGAGGATTTGTGTAGAGAAAGGAAGTCTTATTGTTCTGTCAGGACCAATATCGTCAATTAGCATACAGTTTGGATTGGCGGTATGGTTCTGTTCTGGGCAAGAACTCCCTGCGCATCCATGCAGCCTAGCATGGATGAGAGCAGGGAGAGCAGCGATAAATAATTAAGAAATAATTAAATAAAAAATTTGAATTTGGCAACAAAACGTTTCCATTGCTTATGTTTGGTGTATCATAAAATATTATATTATAGGAACTATGAAGACAAAATAACAGATTAATTTGAATCCCAGACATAAAAACTGTCAAATAAATCTGTCAGTTTTCAGCTCTTTGTTTGAATAGGATTTCAATTTTAATTTCAGTTATTACCTTGTCTTTGTTTTGTTTTTTTACAGATAATTTTTCCTGTGGCCTCTTGTATTCTCACAAAATTAAACCTGACGTGCAAAATAATCAATAAAGGTCTTTTTTGAAAGACAAACCAAAACTGTCTTGGTGCTATTTTTATAGAGCAGTCATAATGGAATAAATATTTCCTTTTTTTTTTTCAGATACAGAAGTACTTTGAATTGCAGCCACTGGCCCGAGGAAAGCGATGGATTCTTGCAGGCAGCACAACGAACAACATGGAGACTGTGAAGGAGAGTTTTAGTCAACTCATCAGCCTTTTGGAAGAGAAGGAGGTGCTACCTAGCAGGATATGATTCAATCAAACTTCAAAGTGAAGAGTGGGTTTGAAGTGTTGTTTGCTAAAAGGAATTTTTTGGACTTGTTCGTCATTGTTTTATAACCCACTGGAGACATAGATGCAAATAGCCACATGTTTTGACGAGCTGACCGACATAATCGTTACCCTCAGGGCCACACATATGCTGATTTAGTAGCAGGTGAGCCAAAGTCCTTTAAAGAGATCAGATTTTTACCCCTTATTTGTAAACGTAATAAGCTATTTGATTAGCTAGTGTCCATTGCACTCATCATTCCTTCTTCCATGTAGAGAATGTTAGAATGTTGTCCTAGACTAAATGTGGATGATGTTGTTCATTTTGTTGTTTGAAAAGACGACACACCCATTTACTTGGCACTGCTGGCCAAGCTGTTTTCAGCTTTGAGCTGGAATACAAACTCTATCAATCAGTGTCCGCAACAGCTGCATTTGACAAGTCCCTGTCCGCCAGGCTTAAGCCCTCCAACTGTCTGCGGAGACTCCTCCCCGTCTGCCACCTCACTCCTCGCCCAGCCACGCTCTGCGGCCTAACCCGCTGCTTCCTGCTGGTGTTATCCAAATTCCTCTCCACAAATTTAGATTCCTGACTGCGCACCTCTCTGATGTGTTATTTTGTCTCACGGGAGTCTCCGAGTAGTTTAGGACTCACACATGCTGTGTTTCTGTATATTTATAGTGTTAACTAGGTTGCATTTGTTTGCCCGCATATTGCCACTTGTCTTATTTTTTTAAACAAAAAACAACATATTTGTACTGCCTTTAATTTGATGTGTGGCCATGTACAAGTTAGATGTGTCATGTGATCTTTTGTATACAGTACCCTCGTCCTACAAACCTCAGGGTAACAATTTACTGCAGTACATGTATGCATTTACTATAAGGTTTAATTCATTAACATTAGTTAATGCATTAGGTATCATGAACTACATATTGGACTGTTTTTTTATAGCATTTATTAATTTAGGTGAATGTTAATTTAAACAGATACTATTGTAAATTTATGTTTGCTTATAATAATTGAATCTTAATTTATACAACTTGAAATGTTACAAAATGTGTTGTGTTTGTATGTGGATATTAATATTTTAAATATTAACATTCTTTGTATTATATAAAATTATCATAATACATAAATATTTATTAATAAATGCATTAAAAGTATTGTTCATAGCTATGACATTTATTTTAACCTTATTTTGAAGTACCACCACTTTACAATTCAATCTGAGTGTTGTCATTATTACTGTAAATATCATGATTTTAAGTGATTATTTTGAATTTCATACAAGGCCATGTAAGTGTAAAATACATCTGATATGCTGCTTTAAACCAGTAGTTTTTCAATAGTTCCACCGTCACCCGGCAAAATCAAAGCAACCCAGAAAAATAATCAAAGAGTCCATCATATCATTGCTTCCTCATCTAATCTCTGTCTTGAACACAAATTTCATGCGCTCGCAGTCTGATGTAGATTAAAAAAAGGGAAGTTAACGTTTCCCAGACAGGGTTCCTGATCCAGCCAGGTTTTTTTTTTTCTTCACCTCTTTTCAAACTACCCACGTTGCTTTAATACAATGTCTGTCACGCAGGTTGCCCCTGCGATTCTTTGATCTGCTCTTCCTCTGTCTACGGCTGACGCTCCTCTCTAGTCTGCTGCTCTTGTCTAGCCGCTCTCAGAGAAAGCCCTTTGCCCCTTCTTTCTCGGGCGCTCTGCTTCCCTTTGGTCACGCTAATGGAGCCCACCCTCGAAGCAGAAACGCTGCAGAAAACCAGTTTGGCCTGTTAGAATTGGCCCGTCTCTCCTCCGAAGAGGCCCATAGACCGATTGCACTGGCCCTAAGGCCAGGAACTTATTGAATGCCCCATTCCTCCACTTCGTGTGACATTATCTGATTGTTGTAGCGAATCAGCTCATAAGGGAAATATGAATAATTAATCATAACTAGTTATAATTAATTATAAATATTTAGATCCGCTGTAGATATTTACTTGACCTCTCAGGGTCAACTGTCTGTCAATTCTAA